CGCCCAGATTCAGGATCTTAATCCAATCCCCGTTGCTAGTGGGACCATGCTCCTGGTCCTGCACAGCTGAGGTAGAGCTCGCCGTATGTTAAAGATTAGAGCTCCAAGTGGAATTCTCCTCCTGTACAGCTAAAACGTGAAACTCCCCATTCAACCGCACGTGCTCCATAAGAACAGACGAGTCAAGAGGAAAAGAAGGAGAGAAAGCGCCTCGCTCCATCATTCACCACGTGCGGAAATACGACAAAATTATGCCGGTGCATCTTTCCATGGTCTACCGGAAGATTCATTCTCATTTTGCACATTTGGTGAGTGGTGGAGCGAGGCCAAAGGGGAAGAAGCATACTCTTGATTTGCAAATTGACAAAACACCTAATACCCAAGGACCTCCTTCGGGAGAGGGGGGGGGGGGGGGGGGGGGGGGGGGGGAACAGGCAGCGACAACCAGACAGAGCTTCAGAATGTATTTAAAAAAAAAAAGGAGACGAAGAAAAGAATGGGAAATATAGGTGGAAAGAGGACAAAGAATAACAGAGTGAGCGGGAGAGAGGGAGACAACCGCAAAGCAGAAAGGAGGGAAGAGAATCCTGTCCAAAGGCAATTCACCACGGCCACTTACCTTTTTTTTTTTTTTTTGCGGCACTTACTTTATATTTCCTCAGCAAGAGAGAAAGAAAGAAAGAAAGGCACCAAAGAACGAGAAAAAGTCAAAAAGCCAAAGACAAAGAGAGAGAAAAGGCAAGAGACAGAGAGAGGCCTGCAAGAAGTCCATGCCGTTGGTTTTACTAGCCAATCCACATGAAACCATATGTCTCCGTCAAAATCAAGCACACGGTACATATACACCACCATGCGCCTTGTCTAACTGCGTAAGAGATCCAAGTGAGAAAAAACACAACCTCTCAGCCTCTCCGTACGGACGCAACAGTGCCAGCAATGTCCTTCACGTCTCTCTCTCTCTCTCTCTCTCTCTCTCTCTCTCTCTCTCTCTCTCTCTCGCTCGCTCGCTCGCTCGCTCGCTCGCTCGCGCGCGCGCGCGAACACAACCTTCCCTGGACATGAGCCTTTACCGACGCTTCACACTTATCTTGAGTCCTTGAATGAAATCCACTGGCGCTTTCTATCTCCGTTCGCTCCATCTATGGTCTATCTACCTATCGCTCTATCCATACAAATTAACATGTCTATATCGCCCCATACCACGCACGAGTCTTCGTCAGCTCCGTCACACCCTATTCCCCGCCCCTACGGCATGTTCTCGCCAGCTCTGCCACACCTCTCCTCCCACCGCCGCGCACGTATCATTGACAACTCTGCCAAACTTCTCTCATGCCCCCGATCCACATATCTTCGTCAGCTTCCCCTGTACGTTCCCCCCGTGCGCCAACCGTCACGGTCAGCTATGTCACCCCTCAACCCTTATCAACCACCGTGATCACATACAGTTCGGCTCCGTATGCAGGCAAATCCACTCACCCCTCCCCGACCCACATATCATCGTCAGCTTCCCCTGTACGTCCACTCCCCTGCGCCACCTGTCACGGTCAGCTATGGCACCCCTCAACCCTTTTCAACCGCCGTGGTCACATATGGCCCGGCTTCGTATGCGGCAAATTCACGCACCCCGCGCCGCGCGCCTCCTTTTCCCGTGTCCTCTGCTCTATTTTCCGCCATCACAGTGAACCGCTCGTAACAAACCTCCGAGGACACGAAAGTTCCATCGCATACAAACATGGGCAATCACCAGAAAGAAAACTTCGACGTATGACAGCTTCGGCGACTGCGCCGCGCCGCCATTTCTTCCTTGGCGGCGTGTCTTTCCTTCTGCAGGCGCACGCTTCGCAGCCTCCGCAGCGCAGTTTCTGTTCACCTTGACCTTCGTCCTCCGCTCAACCCCTCCGTGCGCGCTCCGTCAAATCTCTCCACCTATCGCGGCCGTGCTCAGCCCATAATGCCCACGATGCCTAAACAGCTGTACCTCACGAAATTCGATGCCAAACGCGGGCGAGACGATCCTTCTCACTCAATATACTTACAGATGCAACAAGCCAGCAGAATCTCCTCTCTCTCTCTCTCTCTCTCTCTGTGTGTGTGTGTGTGTGTGTATGTGTCTGTGTGTGTGTCTATGTCTCTGTCTGTGTGTGTGTGTGTGTGTTTGTGTCTCGTGATTCCCCCTAATTCGTAGTTCATCCTTCGCCAACCTGCCAACGATTAGCCTGCCTTGCGCTGTCAAGTCCGCCAAAAGAGCCCGTGATTTTCTTGCAGATCCAAATCGACCGCGAGTGGCGCTTACAAAGGCGTGCGCTTCCTCTCCCCAGTATACCCATCCTTCCCCGCCAACCTCTCTCTCTCTCTCTCTCTCTCTCTCTCTCTCTCTCTCTCTCTCTCTCTCTCT